GTTTTTGCATTGAGTCGATGGTGGCCCTCGTGCCCACCATTCCACAGGTCAACCCTCCCTTGAGTCTGATCTCCACATCGACTCCAAGTGTGCCTTCATTTAAGTTGCTTTAGGTCGCTCCCCCACTTGATCTCGCAATGCATCCACCAATGCATTCTCTCGAGCGAGATCATGCGACAACTCCTCGCCGCTTGCTCAGTCCATCGAGCTTCGTGGAGTTGTTGTTTGTTGAGGTACTCCTCCTCAACATGTGAGGTTCGTCTCACATGATTCTCCCTCTAGAGAGCCGGGACTTATCCCTCCTGGATAACTATCCCGTTGGAGCAACATCTCTCTTCGTTTCGGAGACCACCATCCCCTTGGACTACTCCGATCTGCTGAACAAACTGTGCACTGTTCTGCCTCCTGCAAACGCACTTGCTAGATTGCGACTCCATGTCAATACAGCCCCCACTGCACCCCTCAAGGCCTAGCAACATGCTTAACTCATTGCACACTTTAGCCTCCGACGGACATATCCTTCACATGCCGAAGAGAAAGTTTCAATGCTCCATGGCGCCGAGTTTCGGTCGCCTTGGGATGGCCACGAACATTCCGTCGTCCGCATACAAGCCCATGTATAAGTACCAAATTCTTCGAGTTAGCAATTCCCCTCACCTCTGTGAGCTTTGCATAACTCTTTTGGTCGTTGAGCAACTCATTCCACCTTGCATGGTCTCATTCTTGCCAAGCGCCTCGCTTGCCTAGAGCACCATCAAGTATAGTTGTCAACGTTGAGCCATAGCTCAAACTCAGCCATCCCAACCTTTGTGCGCTCCACATTCTTCCAAGCTTGCCTGTTCTCGTGGTGCCTCTTGCGCGAAGGGTTGGCCATTCCTCTGAATGCCAATCTCAGATGTCCGCTCCTCTGAGCGACTCCTTTTCCCTACATCTCCATGCCCGTTTTCCCCCAAACGGTCGCGCGTGTGCTGACTGCCCTCAACGCAGTCCCGCTAGGTCCCCCACGTTTGCATGCTAAGTGTATCTATGAGTGCTTGTCCCGCTCTGATACCATATGACACGGACTTAGCTGGATTTGCCTAAGTCGTGCGACACCCTTGCGTGTCCGTCCGCAAAGGTCAGCCTCCCCGAAGCCTCCCATTGTCCCTTAGGACCAACAAAAGAGAGAACGGGTTAGAGAGAACGCCTCAATCGGGATCCACAAGCAAACATCTCCGAAAAACACTTCATAGACAATGCAAATTACAAACAGACTTTACAAGCTCTGAACAGTGGCACAACAAAGGGTAAAATGGTCCATTACAGACCGAAAATCTCTCACACGTGTCCACATAACACAACCTTTATTTACAAGCCTAAAGAGGCCACCAACCCAACTAAAATGGGACTATTAAGCCTTCGGCCGCCCCTTTACATACTGTACAAGGCATGAACATGGCAACAGACACGGACAGATATAAGCATTACATCAAACACCTTGTTTAGAAGTTTGTCCGTGACAAAACGGTCGCGCATGTGCTGACTGCCCTCAACGCAGCCCCGCTAGGTCCCCCCACGTTTGCATGCTAAGTGTTTCTATGAGTGCTTGTCCCGCTCTGATACCATCTATCACGGACTTAGCTGGTTTTGCCTAAGTCGTGCGACACCCTTGCGTATCCGTCCGCAAAGGTCAGCCTCCCCGAAGCCTCCCATGTCCTTTAGGACCCACAAAAGAGAGAACGGGTTAGAGAAAACGCCTCATTCGGGATCCACAAGCAAACATTTCCGAAAACACTTCATAGACAATGCAAATTACAAACATACTTTACAAGCTCTGAACAGTTGCACAAAAAAGAGTTAAAATGATCCCATTACAGATCGAAAATCTCTCACACGTGTCCACATAACACAATCTTTATTTACATGCCTAAAGCGGCCACTAACCTAACTAAAATGGGACTATTAAGCCTTCAGTCGTCCCTCTACATGTTGTACAAAGCATGAACATACCAAAAGACACGGACATACATAAGCATTACATCAAACATCTTATTTAGAAGTTTGTCCGTGACAGTAAGGGAGTCACAAACACTTGATCTATGGCTTAGAGGGGCTTGGGCGTCTACCTAATGACCGACCTGTATGAAGACTGACGCCAAGTGGGATTTCTGACGTAGTCCCTTTGATGCTCTAGTTAATGCTGGAATAGAAAACGGGAGTTTCAAATAAACGTTAACTAACATTCCTTATTGTGACCTAGTAGACTTTTTATAACGGTCTTAACCGTTCATATGAATATTCTACAGTATGGGCAAAAAATTCCATCGGTATTTTATATTGGACTAAAGCCCATATGACCTAGTTGTTTGCCCAGGTCCATTTTCTCCTTGCTAATTATGTTGCCACGTGTCAAGTCATGACTGGGGTAAATATTTCCCCCATCACTTGTCAAGTATTTTATTTCTTATGTTTCATATTGTCTCCCCAAATATGGTTCATCTCAATCTATCTATTTATCTATCCATCTATCTATCTATCCACTTCATAGCACTAAAATTTCTTTATTTGCAGCAACGATCATGACTATACCTTTAGTAGTTGCATGGTAGATGTCGAACCTTACCTAAAAACCCCTCCAAGCAAGCACCATTAGAAACATGCTTGTTACTTAAAACATCTTATGAACTGAAGTTATGATTTTTTATATTTTTCGTCAATGAAGTATTGTCCTACAAGATGCACCCCAGAAACCGAATTCTTATAGATAAAAACAAAAACAATGTCAAGCTACTAACTACTAGATAGAAAGAGATAATTTGATTGTAGACAGAGAAACTTTGAGGCAAAGAAAAATGAGTATCTTAGCTACTATCTCTGAAACTAACACTAATTTGGATTTTTTATCTAAAAAAATTAATGTAGATTCCCTTAGGACATACAAAGAACTCACTGTTCTTTATAGTGGCATGATATACCTTATTAAGCAGCTTATATGTGAACTTTTTCAGCTTTTCCTCCATGAACTAAGTTTGTAATTACCTTCCCACTTCAGTTGTTTCCTTATTAATCTCTCTTTCTACACTCGTATCTGGCTTCTTGTCATGCCTGATTACCTAAATACTATCTATCACATAACAAGTCTCACTTTCTCAACAGCACTTATTATTGGCAATCATGATCAACTGACCACCAATATTTGCAACTTTACACCCAAATGCTTCCTAGGCAAATGAGGTTTTTGGCTTTGGCAAAAAATAATATGATCAAGATGTCCTTTAAAGAACTGTTTTATTGCTATGCTAAGTCTAGTCTAAGTGACTGAGCTGCTTCCCTTTTAGCTGAAATCAACTAACATAGAAGTGCTGAAACCAAACTTGCTGAAAGCTAACAGTTGAAAGTGAACTATGTTAATCATACCACTACTATGTATATAACTCTTGTCATGAGGCATTTATCTTCTGCTGTCTTAGAAATTGCATAGAACTTTAGTTTAAATTAGAGACTATGATGTGTGTTAATAATAAAGAAGATTATTGTAACTATGATGAGCTCAGATGAAATGGAAAAGAATCAGTACAGTGAAACTGTGAAAGAAATTAGAAACTGAATAGGAACAATAAACTAAAATATGCACATCAAGCATAGGGAGCATATGTCAATACCTTGCTATAGTAGGCTAGGCTTGAACCACAAGACAAATTGGGAACATTTTTTCAGTGCAATGAGTTGATATGAATTGCTTGCTACCATCAACCAAATCAACAACCTCCAGATGCAGAATCCCAGGGCTAAGGAAAGTATGTGCAGTTTCCTCTGCACCCATGAAGCCCATTTCCAACATACTGACAGTTGTAATACCGAGACACAAACAACATCTCCTCACCAATAAACACTATTCATTCTGGACCATGTCAGTTCATCCATCATACACAACTTGTAGATCTCGTAGTGATACCTGTGATGGCCATTCTCAAGTTCCTACTCAATTTGAACCATTAGAGCAACCATCAGAAGCTCCTTCTTCCATTGAAAAAGCCTGAAAGCAAGGCATTCATAAGGAATTTCATTGGATTATCAATGTTGCAAAATGCCATTTTACCATCCAAATCTACTGCATAGAACCTCCTGTTGCAATATGTGATGGACCAAACATTGCAGGGAAGGTTTGTGTTAATTAGCATCCACACCTATCTCCGGGCATGCAGAGGGCTACTTTGTTAGATGGAAGTGTGACCATAACATAGCATTCTTACCTGAATTTGAGGATGGGGAAAGGATGGCCTCCTTGATGAAGATGTGAGACATCTCAGAAGGCTTGATGGACATGGCTTATCAGTGATGGATGGTTAGAATGAGCAATCCAGTGTTCTTAGACCATCATCACATACCTCCCTGAGGCCAAGGCTAACTGCTCATCTGTTGGCAGCAGCTCAAGTTGTTCTTGGGTGAGGGTGAAAGGATTCATGAATGAAATTCTGGCACTCTCATCCATCAACACCAGCATACCTTGACTTGATCCAAGAAGACCTTGTCACAGGCAACTGGGACACTCAAGCAGAATACCATCTCATCTGAAGGGCTGAAGAACGTTATAGTGCCAGTGTTGGAATCAAAAGAGGGCATTATGAAAGGAACAAATATGATATCATCAACAGTTGCTGTCAAAACTCCAGCTTCATTTGTGGTATCAAAAGTAATTAATTTACTCTTTTTAGGCAATTTTCTTTTGTTAAAGGAAAAAGGCATGAGAGGAACAGAAAAAAAAAGAGATGCTTGTAGATATTAGATTTATCCATCACCATACAGGTTATTCAAAGTTTAATAATTTAGATGTATCAAGTTACAACTGCAGGATTTGCTATCAAATGAGACAAACCACCAGAAATAATGCAACACCTTATGTCACGCTGCATAGAATTGTGATATTTCTTTAACTTTTAGGTAACCATAAATTGTTCTTTAGTAGGAAACAATGCATCAATATTAGCTTAAATTAAAAGATGTCTTGCTCTAATTAGTGTTTATGAGAAACTTCCACCGTTATGTTTATCCAACATAATATCTTTGTTCATTGAGACTAAAACATTTAATACAAGCATAAATAAAATGAAACAAATCAAAATCATCAATGCATACGAGAATTAAAACAACAGGCATCAGTGGTAGAAACTGGAGACATCCTTAATTGGATGATATCTAACAAAGCATACTATATAAGGACAAACAGATATTACCAAATCTAACCAGTACCAAATTACCTTGTCAGTAGAGACAAGGAGTAAACCAGAAAACCTCTCTTGAGAATTGCACATTACAATTACATGATATCACCTCCAAACACCCATTCGTTACATCCATTACTGCCATCTTGTGAATCTGAGACCTGGAAGGTTCACGGCCACCACGAATAGGCTCGGAGAAATACATGGCGTTGCTTTTGCATCCATAGAATGCACCTCCGATGGCATTTGAGTTGAAATGGACGGACAAGAACACTGTCCTACCACCGATGGTATCCACACGGTACCACTTCATCCTTCGTTTAATATCAGTCCTATAAATCTCGTAATGATGCTTGAAATGTGGGAAATCCCCGTCCATGTAATGCGCAACCAGCAGCAGTTCCTTCTTCAACCCGATAATTCTGAAGCTGTCACGTTCAGGAGGCACCATCAGCGACGAAATATAAGTTGCGCGTGTGGAAATACCGACATCGCAGACGCAAACTTCTCCAAATGCGTCCACGGCATAGAACCGACCATCACAGTATGCAACGGAGCTGACAAAGTTATGCAGGGCGGTATTGAAGAGAGTCCACTCACGGTCTCCGATCCGGCAGAAAGCAAGTTTAGTGGACGAAGCAAGAACAGCCACGATGATGACGGCGCATTCGTCTCCCTCGCTCGGAGAGGAGGAGAGGGTCGCCTCCGAAATGAAAGTGCTCCGCATGTGGTACAGCGTGACGGGGTGCTTGCCGTTTCTGTGGTCGAGCACCCAGCGGTCGCGGACTTTGGAGACGCTCAAGCTGGAGGCGCGGGCGAGACTCTCGGTGACCGGCGGGAGGCAGAACCTGGCGCGGGTGAAGGGATTTAGGAGGGAGACGGAGCCAGCCTCGTCGATCAAGAAAAGCCAGCCGCGGGAGGAGCCGAGGAGGGCCTGATGGCGGGCCTCGGGGAGGGGGAGCGAGTGGACCGCGGCGGATGAGGCGATCTCGGAGGGATCGAAGAAGGGGAGGGCAGCGGCGTCAGGGTCGAAGGGTAAGGCGAGGAGAGGCGGAAAGGGGATGCGTCGAGCGGCGGCGCGCCAGCGGGAACAGACGGAACGGAATCGAACATAGTCGACGCTGTGATGGAGGCGTTCGGCGACGAGGGCAAGGAGCTCGGGAGGTAGCGCGGCCCAATCGGGAGCCGCTTCTTTGCGGAGAAGGGGAGGAGGAGGCGACATCGATCGATGTGCGACGAAAGAGGGATGAGGAGGAGAAGAGGGTTTTGATGTCGATGGATGAGGGTTTCGAAGGAGGGGGGGAGGTTGGTGGTAGGTAGAGATTAAAGCGAACCAATGAGCGATTCGCTGAGGTGAGGTGGTAAACAAAGCACGCGCTTTAGGTGAGACTACAGCAATAGTCGATGCGCTAAAGCCGAAAGTTGGATGACGTCACCGAGCCAAGGGAGGCGAATCAAATTCCAAGTTTTTATAATTTACTTTTTCAATTTTATTTTAAGTTTAGTTCACCAATTGATGACGATAGGTATGGCATGAGTTATAAAAAAATTCCGAGGATTTAGATGGAGAAATGTTTTCTTTAAATGGAGAAATGAATTAAATATATATAATTATTTTTTCTTTAAATACTGTTGTTTAGGAACGATCAAAAGCAGCATAAGACATGAGTTTATTAGATAAGCCCAAAAAGATATCTGAAAATAGAATAACTAAGGTATCTTAGCCTTTTATTCTATTATAGATGTAGTAGTAGATATTATTGATGTCCAAATCAATCCAACTCAATTCAAACACATATATAAAAAAATTTGATATGATGCTTCAACATCAATAAGTTGCTAAAGAGAGTTTGGATGCATGATCGATCTAGATAAAGACTAAAAACGAGTAAAATTTGTGACATGATCCTTTTTAACGCTCTCTTTGGTTACTCATGAAGTAGAAAATGAAAGTTTCGAATAAACAATTAATGATCTTGATAAAATTTTTATTATAGATTTAAGTCAAAAAAAAATTTAATAAATTTTAAAAATATATTTTATATTAAACTAATGCTCATATGACCTAATTATCGATTATTTTATTTTAACTATGCTATCAGGTGACTAGTTATGATTAGGATAAATGTTTTCCTTGTCTACAAACATTTAAATGTTTACCTGAAAATGTCTGTGCGATCCACACTACAGTAGACTCGATCCAACCTTTTCCAAATTCTTGCCCTGTGTTTAAGACCATTCTCGGAGATGAGTGGTTGGAATTTATGAACCTCCAATGACAAAAAGAACAACCTTCCTCAGCATTTTTCATCCACAGACATGAGACAATGGAATTCTCCCAGCAACATAATAGAATTCTCCCAACAAGAATCTTTAGCCCAGACCATCTGACACTCATCCTCCTTTTGTGCTTTTGCATATGGCTTCCAGCAGTCAAACTCTCTTCCTCTTAGCTACACATTATCCCAAACAACACCTGTCTGTTTCATAACAAAAACTCTGTAATGCCACATTATTCCTCTGTTAACAGACTCAGACAACATCCACTGAGAATTATCCTCCTATGGAATCGCTATGTTGACAGTCCGGTGAATCTAGTAGACAAACTAAAGAACTATCAGCAAGAAGAAGATGCTCAGCACTGGGATAAGGGAGAATCCTTTAGATCAGAAAACTTTTATGGGAGGCTAGAGGAAGAGATGTCTTTCGATCCCATCTCCTGAGCCTCACCTCTGTTAACCAATCTTGTGCGAGACAGGCACATGGAGTGCTCTAAGATTCAAGGCAACATTTGATTCAAGGCAACATTATCATCACTCAGCTTTTTACGAGCTTGTGAAATTGTCTCCAGTCTCGTTGTTTTGATTGCAGAAAAAAGAAACTACAACTTCTGAAAGCATTTAGCATTTTTGTCGGATCAAGAAATTTAGACGGGTCAAAATATCTAGGTAGGCGAGTGAAGCAACCAGAGAAAGAAGAGTGAAATGGTACCACATTAACTATGAAATCATCTAAGAATTAGGTTTCATCAATCAAATAAACTTGAAAAAGACGAGTGTAACTTGATGCAGTTTTTTGACACAAACGAGTTTGAGATTTTGAGGACATTCTTCCTGCTATATAACATGATATATATGTAAAGACGTCTCAAACTCTAAGCATCAACACAGAACAGAAGAACATTGCAGTCAGTTTCGCCCTCACAGTTTGAGCATAAGCACGCATTTAGTCCATCTCCAAATGCAACCATAGCTGCCGGGCGATAAAAATGTGCAGGGATGGCAGAAAACAGGAGGAATCAGCAGATCTCGTCGGCAAATATTATGTCATAGATAGCTTGCACTGCACAAAGAAGATACAGCAATGAGAACCAACACCTACATAGGCCATACCAATTCACTGAGAAGCTTCGAGTACATTTTCACAGGGTAAATTGCCTCGTACCTTCATCTTTTGGGATATTGGGCTGATCCACCAAAAGCTGACCAAATGCAGCAGCATCAGTGGGACTGTATAGGAAAACAACACAGGTGTCAGGGAGAATGCATAAATATCAGGAGCTGTTTGGATTCTTAATTTTCTCTCTCTCCATATCCTTATATGGTGGTAGATCCAACCACGGTTCAAACCCGAACCGAACTGATCAAGAATCAGAACCGAACTAGATCAATGATTCGAAGGTTTTGAACCAAACCAAAACCAGGTTCTGATTCTGATTATTGGAATCTACAACTGGAACTAAGAGTTTCGGTTTAGTTCCAAACCGACCAAAAAATTGAAAAATCTAAATGCCCCTATAGATGACGAATCTACCCCTTCTGACAATTTAATAAATGACTAATTAGAGGGACATTTTGAAAACATTAAAAATTCAAAATTCCGATTCGAAACCTAAATCTTCGGTTTCTGAACCAGAACCGAATCTCCTAGAACCGGTTTGGTTTCGATTCCAAATTCAACAAAACTGGAACTGCCAAATTTGGAGCCGGGGTGGCTGTATTGTGGAAAGAACTGTTGAGGGCAGAAGTGAAAAATAATGGACATAAACATTACTTTATAACAACAATGTTTCCCAGGTATCAGAATCACCTTTCAAATAAAACAAGCATGCCAGGTACTTCATGATCATGGGAGTTCTAACCCCTTTATGATCGTTGCTCCTTCCACCATTCTGAACAGTGCAAGGATAATAAACAGGCATCCATGAATCGAACGGGCACAATTTGACTACTATATCAAGATTTACTAACATGCACTATCATTATCTTGAGAAGACGAGTCTCAGATATGTTTACAACTTACTCAATTTCACACTGGTTTGATCTCCATAATGAATGCAGTTCAAATTGCTAATATGCTGAGCATGGTAATCATCCATATCTGTTTTAAGCCAAAGTTACCTCCACATCTTTTAATGTTTGCATCAAATCCAAGTAAAACAACAAGGCTGTTCAACTTACCTACACTTCCATGTCAAGGAGGATACCACTGATAATTTAAGAATATACCTGAGAAATGCAAAATCCATTGTAGCCCCATTAGCTAAAAACTACCAAGAAAAAAGAGAACAGAAATAAACCTATGAAAGTAATTAGATCTATCTGGTACCTAACAGAAAAGAGACATGAGCTTCACATTTTATATGATGAATAAGCAGAAGTTATTGAATGATTTTAAATTGGCCATAAATGAAGAAATCAAATATTGGATCACTTTCTTCATTTCATACACATGCTAACTCCATCTTACCCGGCTCTGTTATTTAAAACGAGCTTCTCACTTTCTTCATTTCACTTTTTTAATAGCTGCTTTTGTTTCAAAAAAAATTCCATCTTACCAAAGTGGTTCACATGGCCGGAAGCTTGTCAAGTTACCGACATTTCTGGTTTCTCAGGAAAGAAAAGAATGAACAGAAGAAAAAGGCTTTTATCTTTATCAAAGATAGAAATATGGTTCCAGCCTTTGATGAATAATGTTGGTTACTTGGTGAAAAATCAAAATAAATTATCATGGGTGAAGAACTGCTTTGCAAGCTCAAATCCTCCAATTAATTACCATTCATAAACAATGCTATAATCCAAAATTTTGATTCAGACATCTCTGACATTAGGAACAGGTAACAGCCTAAGTAGCTTTATTAAATCTACATCTCTTTCAAAATGTATAAAGTGAAATATCCAAGAAAACATGATTAGCCAAGAAAAGCTCTTACTCAGATTGGTGCATCTCATAAATTGACCTAAGCCCACCTAAGCAATATGTAATATTTGGCCAGAGTCCAATCTGCACTTTCATCTGCTTAGAAGTTTGGGCTGATCCTCCTTTCACCAGTTGCCACGCATCCCTTGCAATCTTCTCAAGAGACAAGACAATGCCACGAAACTCTTTCCTGATTTTTCATAACGAAGGTTAACCCAAAAGACAAAAAACTGAATCTAATTGTTCAAAGATGACTGTCACACAAGTGACATTCAGAATTTTTGCAGTTGCTCCAACCAAACACACAACTCACAATAGTATATCAACAATTGACTCCCAAGTAAATGGTTATTTCAAGTGCTAACTTCTGCTCCAGGTCAATAGTATGACTGAAATTTTCAATAGAGGTGCACAACTAGACTCTTCATACTTAGTCTTACAATTAAAGAAGAATGAATAAAATAAATTACTTTATCTAATTAAGCAGAAAACACCACCAATGCCGGTCCCAAACCCGGATGAAAAAAATGAAAGGTTATGTTAGGCCAGTGACAACCAGCCAAAAACTACGTCAAATGCTGGATGAATTTTCAAGCTGATCTTTTCAATCTTATTCTCATTTCTTAAAACATGAACCATCTATAGAGTCCTAAGAACTTCAGAAATTAAATTGCTTGTTATCATTTTGCAGGACATATAACATCAGTTAGACTAAGATTACCAGAGGCAGTTGTTGTTTCTGAATGCTAAGTACATCAAAGGAACATCTTCAACTCAACTAAAATACATTGTGACTACAGTTGTTTATAATACACTGTTATGGTAATGGAGAAATTACCATTACCTAGGATTCAATTGCTGTAACTGGTAACCTGGTTGCAGACTACTATATTTCCTTTTTGCCTTCTCCAAAAGGACATGCTAAATGAATTTTCTAGGCAACATTGACAACCAAAATGTCATCAGAGTATTTTTTTAATATAAGTAGGCAACGTCTCTTATAACACTTTGCTATTTAAATGAACTATATCAAATGGCAACAACAGCTGTAGTACTTCAACATGGGAGAAAACCTATATCATGTGTTAGACACACTATCTTATATCACAATTTGAACATGATGTTTCACCTCAGTGGAACAGCTTACATTGTTTCTCTCATGGAACGAAAGATCATTTCCAGGGTTTCCATTTGCTTCCCCAAAAGTGCTTCTCTAATGCCAGATATGCTCCTCAACACACCATAATTTTTAGCCTCTGCAAGCACCTAGCTAAAAGAACAGAGATAAGGATACTAAATTATGATTAGGAACTCCTAACTAATTTTTAGGAGATTTTCTATCCATGGTTCATTGTACCATGCAGCAGTTTTGTGACGAAAATAAAATCAAACTATAGTAGCCGAAGATAGCTAGATATGCCAGATCAAAATGAATTAATCTATATGGATACAATCGTATAAGCTCAAACAAATGTGAAATTTGAAGTAGTCAGAAGTCAAACAATACCATCAATCTTATCTTCGGGACTTACTAAAGGTTAAATGTGATAAAATCATAAAAGGACCAAAATGCCTTGCTCATCAGCAGTATCATCTGTTAAGTTAGTCACTCTACAAATTGGATAGATCAGGCAAACTCAAGCAAAGAATACATAGTAACAACCCTACATATAAAAACCAAATCCTCCCCTCGTGTTGGGGAAAAAAGTCATTTCTTCTGGAAAAGAGAAAGAAGCAACCTTATTGGTAGAAATGAAGGCAGTGAACGAAATAACCAAATCAATATAGAACAAGAAGCAACATCAGTGGTAGTAATGAAGTAAATAAAGTAAAGAGAAAAAAGAGGTCAAAGAAAGAATTCAACCTGCAGTCTATTGATGATGGATGTGGCACTCTTGAAGAGTGAGAGCAATCGGGATTGGAGCTCATCCCACTTTTCCATATCCTCCCTTGCCTTTTTGTACTTCTGTTGAAGTTTCCTCACCATTGTCTCCATTTTTTCCACAGATCTTGAGGTTTCCTTAAGGGTCTGTGATATGATAAAGGGTTTAAGGTTATACTCTCCATCAAATATTCAGATTAGGCAAATAAAAAATGTATTTGAAATCAGAACATCCTCACCCAACACATGATCAATTACAGTGCCACAATTTGGTGCATTGCGTGAGAGTTGGGTGACATCATAATTAAAAAATTACATTGTGCCAAATCAATCTTATTGATGTATAATATACATAACACGAAACAATAAACAAGTTGATCAAAGATTATCTAGATTTAATATTAATTTCGACATCTTTCAGCTAGTGACCTTCTGCTTACTTGTAATTCACCTGTGGTTCATGCAAAACAAGTGTGATTGCTTTTCCAAAAGAAAAAAAGATCCATATTAATTGCAAAACTAATGCCCAAGTTTTGCATATATAGGAATAATAGGATGACACATTTTGAACGATAGGCACTAAAAGATACTCAGGTTCCAAAACGCCTGAGGCACTATGCGCTCATCTGAACGAAGTGAAGCACTCACCAATATAAAAATTATAAAAGTATATATTTAGGAAAGAAAAATAATCATCAAAATAAAAATTAAACAATACATGAGTTTTATATTATTTCATATTCAAAATATGATCACCAAATCATCGAAGTAAATTCATTTAACCATCTATAAAACACTCAGTAATTTAAAAAGCGTTAGGCACCAAAAGGCGCTAAGGTCCCAAAACGTCTGAAACGCTAGGCGAGCACCGAACGAAGCGAGGAACTCTAAAATATTAAAATATAAAAAATATATAATATTATTAATCTAATAAATAAAAATTATTTTGTACATTAATTAATAATCTACTGTTAATAGTATATTATTTACTGTTAACAATAGTTAAAAGGGAAGAGTATAACTATTAAAAGGGATAAAAAATATCACATAGTGAAACCGATAGTGAGAAGTCATAACTCAGAAGAGAAACAATGGACAACAGCCGTGGCAGCGGAGAGCAGCGACGGTAGCGGACAATAATGACAGACGATAGACAGTAGTGGAAGCTTAGCAGACTCAGTCGGCGACAGATGAAGACTCAGAGGCAGCAAGAGAAATCGTCGGTGACGGAGGCAGAGGGAGGAATCCTGGGTGGCGGACGCAGAGGGAGAAATCGTCGACGACAAAGGTGGAGGGAGAAAGCGCATGCTAGGGTTAGGAGTCGGGGTCGCGAGCAGGTTTTCAGGTAACTATGTGCGTTAGTTGGTTCAATCAAACCAACTAACTAACGTTCAATCAAACCAACTAATGCACATTTAACCGAACCCGATTACCTTATATCAATCGCACACTCGCCCGACGCCTAGGCTCGGGCGAGTGCCCAAGCGACGCCTTATTGAAGCGCGTCGCCTGGCCCTTATATGAGGCGCTCGGGCCCTATGCAAGTGCTCGAGCACCCCTTTAAATCACTAAAAACACTAAAATACAACATTGTCCAAATCTACTCTAGCAACAGGAATAACAATCCTAAAACTATATTTGTCATGATTCAAGATGTTAAAACTGCAGTGACACTCCAAAATACTAAGAATGACAAATTCAATCCTTTAAACAATTCATAAGTAATTATTAACAAAAAAAAACTATTACTACTACATAAAGTTACTATTAAATTCAAGTGAGATCATATGAGGCTGTCGGGGAGAGAGAGAAATATTGGAGAAAAGCGAGCTCGGCAGATTTGTTGAGGAGAAGCAGAGAAGGGGGTGAGGATTTCAGCCGCGGTCTGATTGCAGCAGAGGGCTGTTCAGGGTGAGAAGCATGGGGAAGGAAGACAAGGAGGAGGAGAGAGAGTGAGGGGGCTGTCAGGAAGGCTTTGTGGGGGGTGGTTCATGAGAAGGAGAAAGAGCGAGGGCGATAGCGAGAGGGGAATAGACGGGGTAGGGGGAGAAGCATGGAGGAGGAGGAGGAGGAGGAGGAGGAGGAGGGAAGGGGGAGGGCGGCTGGTCGGGGACGCTTGGCAGGGGGCGATGGTCGGAGAGAGACAGCAGCAGGAAGAAGGAGGAGGTACCACCGAGGGCCGCCTTGCGCACAAATGTGGGGAGGAGCGACCGGAACATCGTTGAAGAGGAGACGGCGACGAGAAGCGGAGGGATCCTGAATAGGGTTTCTCTCGCCAGAGAGACCGCGGCGCCGGGGTAGGGTATGGGACTTGGCTCGGTCGAACCGATTGAAACAGTTACGTTCAACTCAAGCCGAGTCAATTTTAATTAGCCTTTAAATTGGCCCAGGCATAAGGCGCCCGTCTAAATCCTAACTTAGGCGCTCGGGCCTCGCGTCGCCTGGGCCCAGGCGATCGGCCAATGAGGAAACAACAAGTTGCAGCGGCAGCTTGCTTCTAGACAACAAAAGCAAAAGCAGCAACGAGCAGCAATAAAGATGCTAAATGAGGGAAATCGGGGACAACATGGATGATCCTTACAGGAACGGCCCGACAGCCGGTCGGTCGACGACAAGTGGAGCAGCAACGGTGGAGAAGGTATGCCCACCAATCAAATAACTGGCGCAAGGGTGACTCTCGGCGTCAGGGAAGAGAAGAAAGGCGTCTGTAGTCGTCGTCTTGGCTGCGGTGGAAATCGACGTCGAATCTTAAGTTGCCAGCCCACAAAGGCGGTGGCGGAGGCTGGGGGCGGCCAAGACGAGAGGCACAAGGTTTATACGCACCCTTACTTATTCGACACGTGGGTTGGCGTTAATCTGAAAGAAATCGCTTCGCAGTCCACGTACAACAACCGACCACATGACCTGCCCTCTACGTCTTTGATGGTGCGCCATTGGCGGCGGTGACGACGCCAAGGAAAGAAGAGGCGATGGCCCGAGTGACGGCGGAGTGTTTATTCGATGGCCTCCGGGATGGCGCCTGGCGAGAATGATGTAGAACGGTGATCGGCTGTCACAGTGGAGGTAGAAGACGCGTGCCTTTCAGGATGCGAGAAAGTCCACGTGTTCGGTTCAGCATTGTGAAAGGGCCGTTTCTGATTCAGTACAATGGCAATTGGGGCCGAGCCGGTCCAATGTAGATGCAGCTCCGGTCACTAAATGTTTCTGCGCATGCCATCAGCTTGCAAGGGAAACGGTCTCACAGCACGGTTGATGGTATCGATCCATATCGATATATAAATTAATTATTGATACGATATATATCAAATTATATCAAGTCATATTACTGATGCAATATATCATCCACATCGATCTTCTATTGGATTAATATACATCACTCGTATCAAACCTTACCTCACACCACATACGTATCATTCGATTTGCATATCTACTTCCATGTAAGCCTTTCTAAATATTACTTCACATGAAAGTTATCACATTACTAATCGACTATAATTTGACTTGCCATTGAATTAATTATGCTTGTATTTATATATTATTTTAATATATCAGTTAATTTAATTGATAAATAAAAACTTTGACAGCTTATGATGAGAACTTGAACTTGAATCTTATCTTCTAAGAAAAATAAAACCTATATATGATCAAACCCCTAAATACAAAGCTGTAGAAGATGACCTCGTGGCACACATCTCAATGCAATTGGCTTTGCCTAATCCAGGTCTTCATTGTTTCTCGATATGACATGTTTAATGCACCAAACAGATACCACAGCCAAAAGCAGCATCCCAAGGAGGGATGCAAAATACAAGTTTCTATGGAATTCAGCTTTCTATTCATAGATGTTCTTGTAACTAAATTCCACTCTGTGTAAAGCACACACTACATCATACATGGAATGAAGTTAGCATGATATCCATTAATAACTAACATTAGCCTTATTAGTGTCTAGAAATATGTGTGACACAAAGATCAAGTAATCAATTCATCAAGTGACAAATTAGAACAAACCAAAGCAGAACACTACCGAGCATGGAATGTGAATTAAGCACCTCGTAGAACAAAACCACAAACAACTATACTGCAAGATATCTCTTTCAATCCCTGTTCAGATTGCAAATGAAATTAGCATGATATCCATTAATAATTAACAGCAGCATTATTAATGATTAAAAATACGGATAACACAAAGGTAGGATAAGTAATACATCAAGTGACACATTAGAACAAACCAATTCAAGCCACTATCTCACATGGAATATCAAACAAGCACCTTGTAGTACAAAACTATAGAACAAACTGACTATTCTGCGAAAAACCCCTTTAAATCTGTGTCCAGATTGAAAATGAAAATTAGCATGACATCCATCAACAATTAACAATAGCCTTATTAATGATTAAAAATATGGGTAACACAAAGGTATGATAAGTAATACATCAAGTGACACACTAGACCAGACCAAAGCAAGCCACTACCAAACATGGAATATGAATCAAGCACCTTGTAGACACAAAACCATAAAACAAATAGCTACTCTGCAAAAAAATCTTTTTCGAATCCCTGTTCAGAATGCAAATGGAATTTATGATCGGATCCAAATGGCAATAATGCCAAACTGAGCTCCAGAATCATTATCCATTGGGGCCAAGCTATCATCCACTACTCAACAGCAGAGGACTTTTAACACAAGGCTTGCAAAATCTTGCTATCAGAAGAAGACTGTGACACATTAATCTTCTTGGGTTTCCATGCTGATGTGATCTTCATTGACACGGCACCATAATTAGAAGGCTTCGCATCATCTGAAGACATATAACTTTCTGAAGAGTCCAACTTTGATTTTCTCATGAAAGAATGACAATTTGCATAGGAAGGCAATTTGTTTAGCTCTGCTTGGTCTCTAACATCATATTGATTCAAAAGCAACTTCTTTTGTTTAATTTTCACTTTTCTACCACCTGCGGTCACTCTAAACTTAGACACCTTTTGTTGCTTCTCCATGCAGTAATTGGATTCCTCATCCTCTCTTTCAGAAATGTCAGCTTCAGAACAAACTACAATCTTCTCTCCTGATGCATCTTTAAAACATTTATTACCCATCGTAGTGTTCTCCTCTTGCAAAGTAGGTGATTTTAAGTTACAGACAGCACCACCATCATAAAGAACTTCTTTCCCAAAATTGTGAATGTTCTTTTGCTTATTATTTGAGATTCTAGGTGAGCTATTCATCGCACGATGCAATTTCCTGGCTAGTTCCTCATCCGTTTCCTGGGACCCTGAAGGATGGCTAGTCTTATCCAAAAGCTCTGTGGGAATTTGTTTCTTTCTCCCTTTGGCTTTGGTCAAGCATCCCTTTCTGGATCTTCTACTCGTCGTGATGGAGTCCAGAAACAGTAGTGCACTCTTGGCAGCAGCTTTGGCCTTTGCAGCTGCAGCTTCTTTCTCGATTGCAATGTTTCTTGCTGCCGCTGCAGCATCAGCGGCAGCCAAAGCTACAGACTTTGAAACCTCAATAATCTCTTCTGGAGTCGAACTAGGAGAATTAACAACATCACGAAGCCGGGCACCAAGATCACCAGAAACGAAAGGCACCGGGGGCAAGAAATCAAAATCGGAATTCTCCCTCTTCAGTTCCGCAAGCAGGCGTTTCCGAGGAGGCAGATGGGTGTTAACATCGAACGATTCCATCTAGTCACCCCTAAGTAGAACGCAAGGATGTCGCTACCGTTTTCCTTTTGCATAAAAGATTCAATCTTGATCGATCCATGTCATGAATTTGTTCCGATCATATCCATCACTTACAGAGACCTAGATTACAGTCTACCACAATTTAGGTCTCCGGAAACAACCCACTATATCGCATAGGTCAATCACAAGAACCCATCTATCAACGAAAACAACAGAAACAACAGAAACAACATCAATGAGCTTTAAATTCCAGGATACAACTCAACGGCGTCTTCATCGGAGAAGAAACAATGAAATCAAGGGAGGAACATTTAACTAGTATGGGTTCCGGAAACGTCAATTTACAGGGAGGAGCACATCAAACCAGATCCCAAGATCGCAGCTTGAGGCGAGGGTTACAACAAATTCACAAATTTCAGACGCCGATAATCGCATCAAAGGTAACGAGATAGTAGACACAGGGATCGAGATCACGATACCTGGTTTCTCGGAAGCGGCGATTAGGGTTCCGGCGCCGCGTGGGAATTCGATGGAGGGCTTCGACCAAAGACGAAATCTTTTCCGCCCAAAACCCAGGAGGAGGCAGGGGCGAGGCCGAGGGTTACAGGATATACATATATATCTATATATATATATATCTCACGCGACCAACGAGTTCTGTTCCAGACAAGACAAAATTACGGGACCGCCCCTCGTGTTTCGAGGTACGCTGTAATTGTTCGTGTGAAGTCATCGAGAGGGGCTCGCAGGTAAAAGCTGCTATTTCTGATGTTAATTGATTGAGTTTCGGTCAGACCTGAGTTCGTCAGAGTCCAGAAGAAGTAGAACTAATCAGCTTGGATTCTTACACAGTATCTGTACTTCACGTTCTACATCATGAGTTGCTGACTGACACTCAATTAAAAGATAATTGAGTTTTTTTTTATTATTTTATGTCGTCTAAAACTCAATTAAAAGATAATAAACAACCTTTAAAATGCATGCAAATATGTGACTGTTAAAAATATAGATCATGTCACATCTATTGACTTACTGTCTTAGACAAAATGATAGTAGTTTAAAAAACTAGCTTGACCTGATCTCATGATCTTGCTACTTGCTGTGCTGACCAAGCAACCTGACTCCCAAAACTAGCTTGTCAAGGAGATTGTGACATAAGCTTCCTTCCATTCTGTTCACAGTTCAGAACATAGAGACCGACACGCATCCTTCAGCTCTTATCCACTTCAAGCTCAACATCATGCAGCAAAACAATCTCTACTTCTCTTGGATCTAATTGCAAACGAAACCTGTTTTAAGCCAGGGTAGGTTGCATCTTGATTGGTAGAAAGGAACCTGCGCTACAAGTTTGTCCAAGGTTCTGAGTCTGATATAAACTGAACAGGAACAGTAAGACCATCGAACATGACTAAAAGTTCACATACAGCACTGTTTTTAGTATTTGCTGTAAGAAAGAAGCATAAAACTTTCAAAAAGATGATAAAAGAAGAGCATATTCTGTCCGGAAAGCACCCTCTGGTGAAGAAGAATATCAAAAATCCCACAAACTAAATTTCACGGTTTTTTAAAACTTTAAATACAATTTATTAGCCATCATCAAGTGATCACCGGCTCAAACTCAAGTAATGTCAACCCATGATGTCATAGCTTTCTTCTGCATGGTAAGGGCTAAAATATCGAACGTCAAACTTCTCCATCAAGTGGTCATATCCTGTGTTCAACAAATCAAAGAGATGATATAAATATTTGCATTGGACAGGAAAAGGGAAAAATTCAAAGACATACTAGGGGTGGATAAAATGTTATCATAGAAGGTCGTGTGGCCCGAACCGCTGGAAGCCTTTGAACTGTCATTTGACAAGTGTATGCCATGTGCTTGATTTGGCTCCCATTCTAATGAATGGATTTCAGTGTTTATTTGCATATCACGAATGGGATTATTGTCACTGCTGATAGGTAGATCATCATGATGGTTTTGGTTGGGCTTGGGTTTCTTTTCGTTCAGGGTTTCAGATTCAGTATTGCTTGGCAATGCAGCCATCTGCTTTCGCTTTGATCGTGCCTTCCTATTCTGAAACCAGTTAGTGACATTAGATTCGGAGATCTGACCATGTTGTGAGAGCTCAATAGTTATCTCCTTTATCTTTTGCTTGCTTGGCATCCCGTTGTCTTGATTAAACATAGCCTCAAGAATTTGTAGCTGCACAGTCGTTGGAGTCCACCGTTGTCTACCAGTAATTTTGTTGTTGCCAGATGCCATCAGGGGATCATTGTAGATGCCGCCCACCCTCATTCCTAAAGCTAAAACAACCAAGATGAATAGAGTAAGTAAATAACAGAGATTTATGAGCCATTATTCTGCTCAATCTTAAACTATAAGACATCAAACATGGTTCCTTACTGGTAAAGAAATTTATGTCAAGAGTTGTAATTGTCAAATGCATGCAACTTTTGCAGGCAACAAGAGAGGACACATATGCAGTGAGATTTTTCCATATTCTGGAATAAGGTACAAGATCAGTTTAAGAGAATGGATTATCACAGATTAATTTTTGTAAAGTTGTCTTCATAATGACAATTAAAATAGGTGAAAGATACAGTCCACACTTGTCTATTGGTCCCATGAATTGCAAATTTGTGCCAAAGAATTTGTTTAGCATCATTGTTTTAAAAAAAAGTGAAACACAGGCATAGGCTGAAGATCAAAACCCACTGCTTCATGTATAAATTAGACCAAACAAATACCCATGCCTTTTCATCTCTTAAAATGCAGAACTTTTCTTTGAGGTTCCATGACGAGCTCGGTAGCTTGACTTGGAAAATATCATCCAGTGATACATCACATCAAAATGACAATTACATGTTCCTTTCTTTTCTAAAACTCACCATAGATTTTTAGGAATTCTATCATATGTTCTCTTAAATTAACAAAACCATGTGCAAGCCTTTCTTTTTCTCCCTATATTTAACTATAAAAGGACAATACAAGGGAAGACATCAAGTCTCTTGCTCCTGTATGAACATTTCCAACACCAAGCGGTCCTTTTATGTCTTATAAATATTCTGGTGGACCGGACAAATCAGATGAAAGAATGATTGACAAATTTAAAAATAGCCATTAAAGTATTCCTCAAGTCTGCAAGTAAGAATGCATGTTTACTGTACACATCCATGATCAATCTAGCCACAAACTCCATTACCAAATCTACCTATTGGCATATTACTTAAGGTAGATCTCTCAAGCATGAGAAAACCACATGTTCTTTAACCTGCATGAAATCAGAATATTGTTTCACCAATATCCCATCAGTTTCTGCTAAAGAGATAGTCTTGCTCATAATTTTCACGGCTAATTACATTTCTCATCATTAAGTTTGAAGACACTGTGTCATACACACCACAGTATCAATCACTGGGTGTGTTCTGTTGCTTCTTGAAGCATTTGAATGTAGAAGTCTAAAATCACAACCAGAGATATGCATGTAAATTTCTACTTCACATTCCTCCATATCAGAGACAGCATAATGACAAATCAAATCCTCACACAAAGAAAGAACTATGACCTCAGTATATATAGTTGCCTTGCTCACTAAAACTTTTTTTTGTCTAAGGAGGGTCAACGTACATAGTCTTACCTTTAAATATTTTAATCATGAGGTAAACCAAAGAAAATTCATTATAAAAATAATGAATATACAAATCTCAAAGTCTATTGTCCAAAACCCAAGCAACAATCACAAGAGAATAACTGAGATACAAGGATTACGTTACTATGCACAATATCTAAAATCTCCCTAAATGATCACAGCAAAAATACACTGTAAATCTGATCTAACTTAAGATGAGAACACTGTCTGGATGATTGAGATTAGCCTATGTGTTGTTCTTATCTTCTTTCATTTCCTTTTTCTTTTGTTTTTCTGTCCTCAATTGTCACTGTTGCTTCTCTCTTTTTCACAGTCACCACTGTCCCCTTTTTCTAACCTAGCCGCCACACATCTTGGTTAAAGGAGTTAGAATTTAGGTTAAAAGAGAAGGGGTTTTAATAGCTGTGGGCTATGAGTTATTAAAGCCCACTATGGGTTGAACTAATGGGCTATCTGCCCAACAACCTCCCAAGGAAAACATATACCACAGGAGAAAGATGATAAATTCAAAACAACATAATTAGCAGAAAACGATAGCATAACAATAAATGTATCACGTGATCTAAGATGGCTATACTGTACAATCATCATTAATGCATGTAACTGGTGGGAAAAAAGGAACTCATAATGCCAAACAACTTGGCACTAGGTTTGCAGCAACATGGAAGAACAATTATTAATCTCAGCATCATTAAATGTCCTTGAGACGAACATAAATTAGAGTTGGCATTTTACCAAATAGAAACAAAGCAAGGGGTTATAGCAAAGGACAGAAAGAGCAGTTCTCGGTCGAAACGACGACTCCAAACTTAGCATATGGAATGACAAGCGACGAAGGTAGATCATGATTTGCTGGCATTAAATCCCTCTTCGAAACAATTCTAAAAGGCCTCAAGTTGAAGACACAAAATTACTTTCTGTTTCAAGAGGAGGAAGGGGAAGAATCGCTCACCTGCGAGGGAGTCGTGATGGGCAGTGATGGCCTTGTGCATCTCGACAAGCTTCTCGCATATGGTGGAATAGACAGCAATCTGACGGCGGAGGACCTCCATCTGCTCGTCCGTCATCACCTTCACGCAGAGAATCCCTTCTCCAACCCCTTCCCCTTCAGCTCCCGCTTCTCCTACTCCTCTTCCTCTCCCTTCCCTTACATCATCGTTCCTCTCATCATCACCACCACCGCCAGAAGGCTTTTCCCACTGCATTCTTGGCGTCTCCTCCATCAAGATCCCGGCTTTCAGCATCCCATCTCCCTCTCCATCCGGTCTCTCCCTCGTCAAGATCCTACCTTTATCGGTTCGGACGCTTAACCACGCATTGCTCTGTTTGTTATTCGCTCAAAAAGGCAACAAGCGGCGACTTGGAGTAGTCAGGAAGCACCGGAGTAGGAGAAAAAGTAAAGAACCTCGCGGGGTCGGGCGCGCCCTCGTGAAGATTCGTGCGCGATCGCCGACGCCTCTTTTCCTCTAGTAGCATTCCACGCTGCGGACACAGATGGAAAATACAGGGAGGAGAGAGAGAAGGGAAAGCCAATGAAAGGTAAGAAAGGAAGGGGCGGTGGTGCGGCCTGTGGGTGGCGAGAACGCTCGTATCATCATCCTGTGTTAATAAGGTGATGCGATGGAATGCTCTGCTCTCACTGCCCCAAGACTCGCCGACTCCCTTTAGGGGTTCAAAGCTTTCCACTGTGGGATTCACGGTAATAATAATAATAATAATTATATATATATATATAATTATGTTGCCATTTATATGAGTATAAATATGATAGATCAGATTTTAACGAAAGATCACATTAAATATGCTTTTAAGGATTAGGCGAATAAATTTATGAAATTTCACCTGTAAATCCTTTTAAAAAATAACATAAATATCATGACGAACTTTCTTGGATGCCTCTACACTGATTATAGAGAGAGATACTAAATATATATTAATTAAATACAAAATAAAAGAGAGAATAATAAATATAAATTTTGAACTCATAATATATTTTATTATGATGATAAATATTCTGAATTGGAAGACCATCATATTAGAAAAGGATTTAATTTATATTAAACTCAAACATCGTTTTTGCAAGCAAGTTTAGTTAGACTACAGCACCCGAAAGTGACCCCAAATGCATGATTAAATTTATGAGATTATTGATTAATCCAATCAAAATATTTTATTAAATATTATTAATAAAATTATAATAATTGTAAAGATTAGAGGAACAAAATAAAACAATAAATAAATCTTTCCATTTTAATCACAACTTTTTGAAAAAGAGATATTGTTGATGTTTAGATGGGAGGTAAATGGGGAACTGTTGACTGCTCAGGATTCTTGCTAATTCATTGAAGAACAGGATTTCTTTGGTCAATTTATTGATCATGGCATGTTTGTGGTGAACAAAAGGTCTTCGTCTCAACTGCCATTCAAAAGAGACGCAGAAGGAGAGAGAGAGAGAGGGAAGTCAACATGAACATGGATCGAAGAAGCATATCATTTTGCATGATTTCTTTCCCTAAAAAGACACATTTTTCTGAGGCCTACATAAACTGGTTGAATGACCTCCACAACTTTTTCAATTGATTTGATGTGCACAAGATGACTTCTTGTCATCTTAAGCTCAAATTAATAATAATAGTAATAATAGTAATAATAATAATAATAATAATAATATATTTTTATAAATTAATTTAACATCTTTATCTACCTTTGACATAGAATTAAATTTAAAAATATTACAGAAAACCTATGCAGCATCACATGATGATAATGTCTGAAATGGAGGCAAACTGAAAAGATGGGGATGACTTGTGGAGACAGAAAGAGACCCTTAATTGCTGCTGTCAAGGGTCAAACAATTGAGACTGGACATGGGAAGAAGACAAAAGCCTCTCAACTAATATATCAAGAAGTCTTAACACTGTGCCTCCACATGCCTCTCCACCCAGATTTGTTCTTCTTATCTCTACTTTCTCAATTTACTAGTTGATAAAGTAGCAAAAGTCCAGTAGTTGAGCTAGAAAAATGCAATTTGTCAAGGTTCTTACTTCCATTAGTTTCTCCATCTGACACCAATTAATACGTTTCCTTGACAATGTATCTCTTATGGGGGGACGAACTTCTCATCGACTATTCTTGAAATTGACACAGTATTCGGTCAACGCCAAATAATTTCAACATTTCCATCTTACAATCTGAACTCGAGCTGTTCTCTGGGTTGTGCACCATGAACACGAGGATGAGAAGATGCACCACGTCCACACACCAAAACACACAAAAACCATTTCCTACATAACGAAATAGTAATGTTCAATCATTTGATTTGATGTGCCAAGCTGCAATCTTCCCTCGACCATGGAGTCGAGCAACATGGATTAAGGAACGTTTGCACGAAGAACTCCGACATGCCATGTGCGGCAGCGCCGTCTCCACCGGCCGAGGTTGCGATAGGCATTATTCTAGCACTGCTCGTCATCTATGTCGAGCCTCTCTCAACTTCCTTTTCGCCGAGCACCTTACAGGCATCCAGCGGGTCGCATGCTCGGCAAAGCAATCATTGCCTGTACAATGTCATCTATTAAGTCCCGCAGCACGACCCGCTCAATCTGTCTTCCTACGACGTCAACGTCCTCATGCAGCATGCTTGGCCAAGTCGTCATCTTCACCTCCTCAACCACCACGCTATTTACGTCGGACTCATGTAGAGGGGGACTCATGTATACCTGGATTTGGTTCCACAGGTCAAGTAACAAGCTTTTTGCTTGTGGTGATGCAGCTTGGCCTGGACTCCGCCTCTTGAACATGGAGCAATGTATCTGAGGTCCCAGTACACTTTGCAGAGCCTCGTTCACCAAGTCAAACAGCAGCTTGTGTCGTACAGCTATGTCATCGTTGTGGACGATAGAGGACTTCCAGTATTTGCCGTATGCTTCTTCCTCTTCTTCGAAGACCTGGTGTGAGATTGGCCGCGTTACTGCGCCCGACTTTGAGCTTGCTTGATCGGCAGAGACAGTCGTCTCTTGGTTGTGAGGCTGCTCCGTGGCTGCCATTTCGGATCCACCATGCTCAGCTTGTTCCGACAGATGTGGATCTGGCAAAGAGATACGAGCTGGAGCATTGGAGATATAGCTAGCCATGCAAGAAGCTAAGGTAAATTCTAAGCGTACGAAACCTATCTGCTTCAACCTGGAGCATCGGAGCTCAGCGCTTCGGAGATACAAGCTGTCGTGTGGTACTCCATGACCTCCAGCGGTGATACAGGACTCGGGCTATCTTGCCTGCAGAACTCGTCAGGAGAACCGCTGGACACTGATGCAGGACTCGGTGGCACCTCTGTGGAGTTCTCCTGAGGCAAAACAGTTCATGTTAAAACCTTAATACTACTTTTCTTGCAGAGCTTTTATCACCGCACTTGCCTGTGTGATGCCAGCGCTGGTGACAGCAGGCGGTGCAGTTGGTGTTTCCTTCACTGTGTTGAATCCACTCGCAGCTGGTTGTTCCTTGATCAGCTCTGTCTTCTTCCCGAATAACTTACCTTTAAGATTGAAGCTATGTTTTAGATTGGAAACTCTACCTTTCAGGTCGAGGCCATCCTTTCTTTGGTTTCTGAGTTCTGAAAGGTTATGTTCAGATGCTTCATGCTTCCTGCGGATCTGAGCTCCAGTTATATGCTGGTCCTCCGAAAGCAGCTTCCCAAAGGCTGTTCCGGACACAGGTGCAGAAAATGATCTTATGAGGTTTCGTTGTGCCACACTTTTCTCTCTCTTTCTTGGAATTGATTCGATCACAGCTTTCTTATCTTTCCAGTGGTCCACACTTTTCCCTTGATCTGGTATTGCCTTGTCTCTGATCAAGGAGAAAGCACCTGAGTCTCCAAGGAGAATCTCATCTTTCAGGATGTTCTTCGATTTCGCCGACAGGAACTTTCTTGTGTCTCTTCTGATGAACTCTGGTGAATCGGGCGTATTGATCTGGATGTCACTCCTTATCGATCTGGTTGACTCAGATCGTGCCAGAGTCGTCCCCCTGTCCTTGGTCACGCTCTCTCGTATATGTCTTGCTATGCCACGAGCAATTTGCTTTGGATCACTTGACCTTTCACTCAACGGAGTCCCCATTCTGTTTCCTCTACCTTTAACATTGGGAGTCTCATTTCTGAGCCTTTCCTTCACCTCTTCGAGGAAATCGTCCATACTATATTCCTTCTCTAACTCATCAGATGAGGCAACTAACGATGACTCTTCATTATCATCACTTCTATCACAATTAGGCTTCAGAATCACTATTCGTGTCGGCGAACAAGTTCGTTCGTGTTGCCTATCAGCCTTAGCAACTGGAAAGTGTTCAGGACCATTAACTCTGCTCCCAAGCTTCATAGTCTTTCTGCTGCTGGATCCTTGTCCATTCACATCCCGTCTAGCTGGTGAAACCACCTCTTTGAGTTGTGTACGCTTCAAGCTTTTCTTGCTCTCCAGATTCTTTGGTGCGTGGGCTTGGCGATCCTTCCCATCTCCAAGAACGTGACTCTTCTTTGACCTTGGATGCTCCCATAACTTTGAAGCCTGCCACGCCAGGAAGTCCTTCTTGAACCTCTGCAGCAGCTCTTCCTGTGGATGTTCGCGTGGTTGTGGTCTTCTTGTCTTTGTTTGTCTGGAGGAAGTAGAGCTACATGGAGTTCCGAGACCTGAACTGTTATCCATAGGCTTATTACTCATCTCCATTGCTTTTCTTGATCTATCTACTTCATGTTCCTTGACAGGAATCTTGGTACTTCGTTCGGATGGTATCGATTCTATTCCCATCAGACGGGCAACCAGATTTGGTCCATGCATCAACTTCTTCATCGAGGTTCCATTGGGAAGATGGTTCATTTTGGAGGAGTGCTGCTTCACCTGAAAAGAATACTGAAACCAAAAGCTCATAAGGAATAGAAACTAAACATAGTGGAAATATGCAGTTTGCAGATACTGTCTCCACACAGAAAACTGGTAAGTGGAACACCTGACAAGGATCTATTCGATAGGCACCGAATTTGTGATTCTGATATGCCCCATGAGGAGTTATTGCTGGACTAAGTCTAAGAACAGAGTAGTCCATGAATAACATCAAATGATCGATGCTCTTAGATGTTACAGTTTGATATATATAGTATGAATTTCAATACAAAAAGCAGACATGAACAAAAAAGCTCAATATTTTAACTTGAAAGTCTGAGAATGCTGTTGAATCATGGAAGTAGGTAGCATATAAGAAACAGGTGTTGAAATCCTTGTCCATGGCACAAACTCATCTATTGCTTAAAGCAAGATGTCAGCAGTGATTAGAAGCTTTGTGCTGTATGAAAGTTCAAAAAATAATAGGCACCTCAATCTACGAATTCAGTGATATATTCAAATAGAACTCACCCGAATATCTTCAGAGACACAGTGATAACCTTCAGATTTGTCGATGGAAATATCGAAGCTGTTCCGAGGAGCTTCAAAACCTACCAAATTGTCAACAAAGTATTTTAGATGAGCAAAGACAGTAGTGTTCTTTCTTGTAATTATATTACTTAATCTATTTCTTATGTTTCTTAAGAATAAGCAGAAATATTTATGGATCCTGAGATCCAAAATCAAACTCGCAGTAGAATTGCCGAGTGCAGTCATTATCATCACCATGTTTCTTATGCTCCAATTTCTGAGAATTCCCAGTTCTGCTGAAATAAAAAGTGTTTGATATTCCATCCATGGGGCCTGGCATGCTTCCCAAACATGTGATCCTTGAGATTGATCAGGTCTTGATATCTACCTTGAAAACTGCCATTTCTAGATCAAAACTTGCAAGATCACAGCTTGGTCAAAATCTTAATTCATGCTGATCATCGACTAAAGAACAAGAGATTCAAGATGTTTATTAAAGTAACGAATAAAAATAACTGAAAATATTTGACGGCAGGTGATTCATAGATATGGATGGTGGCTTTGCAGATTACCTTATATACAGCAGACAGAATGCATGTCATACCGGAGGATATATGATTTCCTACAGATTCCATGTCCCAGACCACATTCACTCAGCAGAGAAAAGGGAGCTTGAAAGACAAGATGAAATTGATGAACGCAATCATGCACTTCCGCCACCAAATTCCATGAAAACTATCGACAACAGAGGAGAATACATTAACTTCATGAGATCAGGGACAGATGAATTGCTTAAATCAACATGGATGACATTGAATCAAAAAAATACGAGATGGAAAACCGAGTTGCCTGAAGAAATCTTACCGAAAATTTTGAGATAGAGAAAAATAATCCCTATCTGTTCTAAAAACATACTGGTAAGTTCCAATATTGCAATTAATGATTCATTTAACACAACTCTTGATCCCTTACAGGATGCATTTCAACCGAGAAGATCGTGTAAGCTACCAAATCATACTCAGATTTAGCACGAAACCACCGTGACGGTCGACAGAGGAAATTGTCCAAAATAACAACAAAATAAAATGAATACCAGAGATTCCTTTAAGCAGCTAAAATCCCGCACTCCTACAAAGGTCAAACCTGTAGCAGAAGAAAAGCAAAGGGAATCGCTTGCTGTGATCCAGGTACCGGATTCCACGAGGATCGAAGCGGAGAGCAGAGGAGCCCTACCGAACGGGGACAGGAGAGGGAAGATGGAGAGAAGCCGAGCTTCTTAGAGGAGGACCGCACAAGGGATAAAAGGGCAACAGAAGGGTGAGCCGTTTCCCTCCGAGCGACCCGTTCCGTTGCTTTTTTCGCTCACCCATCGTTTCCCACGGCGTTTCTCCGGACGATTCTGCTACAGCAGACGCGGGAAGGGAGGTTCGTTGGACGTTGCTTTGTCGCGCGCTCCATTTGGCGCCATTTCTTCCGTCGTTTGGACTTCGATACGCTCTCGCTTCGTTGCTGTATTCTAAAGCTTGTCATGACTGTGATTTTTATGTACCTCCAAATAATCAATATTATTATTGTTATGTGATGTCAAACATATTGGAAAGATGTGCAAATAATCGTTGTCATTGAGGTTCATTTAACCATGTCAACAAAAAAAAATGACGGACAGAAAACACATAGTTAAAAGTTAATTTTTAGAATGATTGCAATTTATTTAGAATGTGTCTCTCATAACAAGAAGGAACTATGTAATCTAGCTTTATAAACTTTAGAATTCAAAATAAGTCCTAAAGATGAAGATGAGTACTTGATCACCTACTCAGACATTTGTAAAGGCTAGCACTTAGGTTGAACTAAGAAACCCTAAAGCAAGTGTGTGTGTGTGTGTTGGAAAGGTTAGTTGGGAAATCTTATCTCCTTTACCACTTCGAACTCTCTCAGCCTTACTGTCCTTAACTTTAAATTGCCATGCCATGTGATCAGTCCACTAAACTTTGATTAGGTTAAAGAGATTGTGAAGTGCTTTCCATTGAATGGGCCCTCGAGGATATCTTTGTTTACGTGAAGCCATGATGATGGCATGTGTTGCGCATTGGTCATGTTCATGACGTTCCACGTTCCTCTTGTGTCGACCTTTCTTTTAGGATCATTAATTAGCAGCAACAAATCACATGGCAGATTCGCATGATAAGCATTAAGGCATAATAAACCGGATGCGGATTTTAGATGGACCGGGCCCGACGGGAACGCTCGATCTGAGCCGGTTCGACTGGACTATCTCCATTGGGCCCCTATTTAAGTGGGCCCATAGGGTCAGGCCCGATGTGTCCTGGTGATAGCGGGGCGATTTAAGGATGCGATGTTGAATTCGTTGCCTCGTCTCTCCTCGCCTCTCCGGCGGTGATCTCGGGGAGCGAGTTTGTTCCTTGCTTCGTCCAGACGATCGCTAAATCAAATCGAAGCGATCGATCATGTACGCCTCGAGGGAGGTAAGTTCGCTGCGAAATCCTAACCCTAGTTGTTCCTCTTTATGGCTTGATTTATTATCGCAAAATCATTTGTCTCGTCTAGGGGTTCTGTTCTTGCATTGTTCGTGACCTAAAAAGTATGTCGATTGAGTTCTGTTACTGCTCCCGGGATGGACATCTAGGGTTATTGTTCTTGGCACAAAGGGCGGTAATCAAAGAAAGATCCTTCTTTTCTGGTAACAAAAGGTTCTTGTTTTCGGGCTGAATCCCTAACTAGAGACATCAGGAAAACGTTAATTCGTTTGGCACTTTGGATTACCTTCTCAAGTTCTCTATAGGACTTAAACCACAATGTTTTGGAAGGTTGAACAGCTTGATATTGGAATGCTCTTCTCTGTATGTGATTGTTATCGACTTGTTGTGGAACTTAACGCCGTGACTGAGGAGTTAGCACGACTAGGTTCCGTCCGGAAGATGCAGGGTCGCCTACACGAGGATCTAGTGATGTGGCGGAGGAATCAAGTCGGGTCGAGGAGTACCTCACCGGTCTGTCACGCACTTAGCTAGTTTTGCCTAAGTCGTGCGGCACCCTTGCGTGTCCGTCCGCAAAGGTCAGCCTTTCTGAAATCTCCTATGGTCCCTTAGAATTTACAAAAGAGAAAATGGGTTAGAGAAAGCGTCTCACTCAGGATCCACAAGCAATCATTTTAGTAAAACACTTTATAGCCAATATAAATTACAAACAGACTTTATAAGTTCTGAACGGTCGCACAACAAAGGGTTCAAAATGGTCCACTATAAACCGAAATCCCCACAAGTGCCCACATGACACAACATTTGTTTGTAAGCCTAGGACGACCACCAAAACCAAAGAAAATGGGGCTGCTAAGCCTACTGTCAGCCCTTTATATGTTGTGTAAAGTATAAACAAAATCGAAAGACACGGACATACATAAGCACATTGAACACCCCGTTTACAATTTTGTCCATAACAGGTCGGCTCGAGTCGGGCCTTCGATTGCTGCTCCTCCTTGCCAAGAAAAGGTCAACGTCGAGAGGGGGATTCCCAACTCGACCCCTCCGAAATTTAAGTCAGCTCAAGATGGTATATAGGTGTTTGAGGTGTCTCTTTTGTCAGTGGGGAGAAGATTGGCTTTTATACCTGTTTGTTGGAGGGTCGACTTTACGAGGCTTGTTAATGATCTACGATACGTCGGGAGGCCAACCCATACTTTTTGCGCGGCACGGCCAACTTGCACAGCTCCGCGCCATGCGACACCGTCTTGCGTCATCGCAGATGGCTTGAGGTAGGACAGTGTCGCCTTGTACAGATCCAAGCGGCACAGGTACGGCTTCCGCCGCCCTTAGTTCCGAGGTGCTTCGCTGGCGTGCATGCGCCATGTCGGCCATGAGGAGGCTGCCGCCCGTTGCTATGCAAGTCATGCCAAAATATGCCATATCATGACTGATCGAGTAGCTAAGCTTCAAAGGAATGCTTTGGTGGTGACCTATGTAACAGGCATATCCTGCTGGACTGCAGTTAAATATCTCTTGCATGGATTAGTTCATAAGAAGAGAGAAACAGAAAGAAGATATTTGTGCTAAAGTCATTAATCTTTTTCGGGCATGGATGATGGATTGTGATGGTTTATATGGTGTGATAGTCCTACTATTGGTAACTGGGCTTAAGTGATGAAAGGCCGTTTCTTTGTTTTTGGGTCATTGGCTCTATGGGATTAGTTTGTGGCAAAATGTCATGCAAGTTTAAGAATTGAAACTTTGAGTGATCAAGAATGTAGATTTCCGTCCTCATTTTATTAGGGCTAAGAATTGAAAATCTGTCTAATTAATTCTATTAGCACAAAGTTGTGCAGGTTGCTTGTTTACTTTTTTGCTTTAATTAATATCCTTACCTTTTTTTTATATGTTGTGCAATTATTTTTTCGAGGTTTTACACATATTTCATGCTATATTAGGTTGTTGGATTCAAGGTTTTTAATTTTGGATATTAAATGTTTTTAATTTCAGATATATGTTTGTATTGAGTCAGTTCGTGTTGGTACGGGCCTGAGCCATACTGGTTTACCATGTATCGCTTTACTAGTATATATGAGTCTCAAATAAAGCTTGAAGAAAACTGAAAAATAAAAAAAAATATTACCTAGTACAAGTCTTGTATCAAGAGCTACAAAATTGTACCGAGTGTACCATCCGATTTATTTTGATTCACATGTCGGTAAGTTGTCAGGCCAATAAATATTATCTGTACCAAATCACATCGGATGATGTACTGCTCGGTTTTATGGTGATCCGCATGTCAGGAAGTTTTTAGACCGATAAATGTTGTATGTACCAAATCATTCTGGATGGTATTGCTATCTTCTTTTTCTTGGGATTAATAGTCAAGGCAAAGCTCCATTGTAGCCATGAGGATTCCATTCTTCCTTCTCCCTTGACGTAGGCACCTTTTTTAAGGCAACTTTGGGCAACTAATGATGAATGGATACCCTACATTGCAGTGAGCAGTGGGAGTGCTTGGGATGGCTCGAAGTGACCAAGGATGATGGAATAGCAGTTCCTAGCAGGCAGTAGCGGCAGTAGTGGAAGCAGCATCATCTACAACTTTCCAATGGTTCATCTGATTTGGATACATGTCATTTGTTGCTGGTGGAAGCAGCATCATCTTCAACTGTGACAATTTGGATATCAGCCATTTGTTGCTGAGCTTTTACAATGACAGCATGCTGGTGGACAAAAAGGGTTGCTTATTGGGTGAGGCTTTTGTTGTTTTTCCTCATCCATGCAAGCTGAGTTCCCTCTCCAGAGGGACAGAGAGAACATGGGCCGTAGGTATGTTGAGATCGAAGTCCTGGCCTGATGCTGTCAGCTGATCATGTTATGAGATCAGGTCCCAGTTTGCCATCGTATACCTCCCTATTTCAATTCCACCCACCCTCATCTTGACGTTAACCTGTCTCCTAAACTAAACTCCTCTGATGCATAACATTACTTGCCTTTTAAGTTCTTTTCAAATACATTGACTTGGTTTCTCTGACAATCACCATGGTGCATGATGCTCCTAATTTTATCTCTCTCTAGGTTGCCATCAGTTGAATCTCTTAGCTGTAATCTAATAGAAATTAGACTTAAAAGTCTTGTCAAATAGTGTTTTATATGCCATCCTCTAGTGATGTTCATTCAAAGTGTAACAGGATATCAATTTATATCCTGTTGTTCATTCAAAGTGTAACAGGATATCAATTTATATCCTGTTGTAATTGAATAGTGATTGGGCACACAAAGTGCATCATGTCGTGGACCACTAAAGTGGTAAACAGATGATTGCGAAGGCATTAGTGCGTATTACTCTAAAAGGAAAGTACTAGGAATAATAAATAAACGTGGATTGTGTCTTGGAATTTAAAATCGTGGTAGAGGAGCCGGCATGGTTAGGTTTCGTCCCGAAGATGCAAGGTCGCCTACACAAGGATCTAGTGATGTAGCGAAGGAATCAAGTCGGGTCGGGGAGCACCTCATCAGTGAGTTAAGGTGGGCCTTCGATTGTTGCTCCTCTCTGCCAAGAAAATGTCAATATCGGGAAGGGGATTCTTGACTCGATCCCTTCGAAGTTTAAGTCAGCTCGAAGTGGTATATAGGTATTTGAGGTGTCTTTTTTATCAATAGGTTGGTTTATCGAGTTGGTTTGTCGAGTTGGTTTGTCGAGACGTGGCTCAAGCAATGATTGGCTGTACACAACTCGGGCAAAGACTGGACCTATTGGTCGAGATACCCAACTCGGGCATAGGTTTAACTGGTTTGCCGATACATGGCTCGAATGATGACTAGTCGAGATATACAACTCGGGCAAAGATTGGACCTATTGGTCGAGATACCCAACTTAAGCACAGGTTTAACTGGTTTGTCGAGACATGGCTCAAATGATGACCAGCCAAGATACACAACTCGGACAACAATTGGACTTATTGGTTGAGATACCCAATTGGGCACAAGTTGAACTGGTTTGTC